TTGCTTTTCCATTGCCTTTTTTTTTGTCCGGACCATAACTTGAAGACTAATAGTTTGAATTCAATATAACTACATACAATGGTCAAGCACATTGAGAGGAAGTGCAGTGCACAAGAACCATAACTCTATCTTGACTAATTACAGAGTTATTGCCCTTTGTTACTTTTCCTTGTCCGGGGCATAACTTGAAAACTACTGGTTGGAATTCAAAACAACTTCATACAATTGTCAAACACAATAAGGGGAAGTGCAGTGCACAAGAACCATAACTCTATCTAAAGTAATTACAGAGTTATTGCCCTTTGTTGCTTTTCCATTGCCTTTTTTTTTTGTCCGGACCATAACTTGAAGACTAATAGTTTGAATTCAATATAACTACATACAATGGTCAAGCACATTGAGAGGAAGTGCAGTGCATAAGAACAATAGCTCTATCTTGACATATTACAGAGTTATTGCCCTTTGTTACTTTTCCTTGTCCGGGGCATAACTTGAAAACAACTGGTTGGAATTCAAAACAACTTCATACAATTGTCAAACACAATAAGGGGAAGTGCAGTGCACAAGAACCATAACTCTATCTAAAGTAATTACAGAGTTATTGCCCTTTGTTACTTTTCCATTGATTTTTTTGTCCGGACCATAACTTGAAGACTAATGGTTGGAATTCAATATAACTACATACAATGGTCAAGCACATTGAGAGGAAGTGCAGTGCACAAGAACCATAACTCCATCTTGACTAATATCAGAGTTATTGCCCTTTGTTACTTTTCCTTGTCCAGAGCATAACTTGAAAACTACTGTTTGGAATTCAATACAACTTAATACAGTTGTCAAGGACATTAAAAGGAAGTGCAGTGCACAAGAGCCATAACTCCATTTTGACAAAATACAGAGTTACTGCCCTTTGATACTTTTCCTTGTCAGGAGCATAACTTAAAACGTACTGGTTGGAATTCAAAACAACTTCATACAATGGTCAAGCACAATAAGAGGAAGTGCATTGCACAAGAACTATAACTCTATCTTCAGTATTTATAGAGTTATTGCCCTTTGTTCCTTTTCTTTGTCTTTCTGGTCTTATTACAGAGTAATTCAATTAAACTTCATCAATGGCCAACCACATTGAAAGGAAATGCAACATATAAGAACCACAACTATCTTTAATTGCCCACAACCATAACTCTATATTTCAATTCTTTTACAAGGTATTCTGTTACTAGTAACATCCTCATTTCTGAAGCAGTCTTGTGGGGGTATTAATCACATTTAGTGATAGTTCTAGTTTATTTTGCAAACAAAAAACAACAATTGGATAATGTTAAAAACTTAAGCCGACATTTTAAGCAGCCACCAATTTTCCGAGCATGTAATGGTCAACCTGTACTAAATCTTAAGTACCAAAGGAAAAAAAAGATACTGAACATGATTCTTGGACTGACTTCACACTGTACATTATATTTATCATCTAATAATTTCTCTTTTGTAAGTTCTGTGTATGGCTGAAGTTCTCTCATAACAAAAAAAACTCGATGTCTGTACAATCCCCAGACAATATCATCATTTTGTCTATGTAGCACAAAGGTGACTAGTTGTTCCTAATAATTACAAGCAGAATGCGGACATCGAATTTTGCACATCAGTGATTTGTGTGACAGAATGGTCATTAGGCAACAGTAGGAAATGAACTTATTATTATGCATGATGTGACCCAGGTCCTGGCATTCCTTAATCAGAACAATTTTCAGCATTGCCTTTTACAGTCTTTGTACCTATACAAGTCTTGTTGTATATATTGCTTTCTTTAGTGTGTTAGACTTGATTAGGTTTCATGTTGTTGATCTTGTCATGTTTCGGTTTCAATGATTTATGAGAATAGGATAGTTAATATACAAGATTGTATTGAATAATATATTAATTCTTTCATATTTTCTGAAGTCAAAATAATATTTTAGATAAAATGGTGCGGTACACTGGTTTCCCTTTTGACTTCCTGGATAATTATCAATAAGTAATATGTATGTTTATTACATGCTTATCAGTAGACAGTGGAACTATATTTTGGTGATTTTATTGTAAAATTATCAAAATATATTTTTTACAGAAGTCAAGACTATATTTGAATGTAGATGAAAAGAATTATGTAAATGCAACAGTGATTACAAAAAACATATGAAAATTTGCACTTACCATGTTAAAAATGTAACAATCTTGAATGAAATTGTAAAGAATTACTTTTCAGCAAGTCAATAACATGATGTCATGATTTAGTGGTGTCATGAATGAGAACGCATGCCATTACATGGCAAAAATAAAAAAAAAATGACTTAAATCACTAAAAAAAGTAGAAAATTTGTTTAGCGTAAGAGATAAAAATATATTTCACAGATGGAACACAGAATGTAAATCATATTTTCTCAAATGGCATTGCCTCCATGTTACCTCATTTGATCTCATTTTGAAAATATATCTTGAAGAAAAAAGTGGCTAGTCAGATCTTTGTATAACAAAAGAAAGGATCTTTGTATAACAGAAGAAAGGAAACAGATTTCTCTGTGGGCATAATACAGGACAATTTCATGATATAAAAGACACTAAGATACTCTGTAATGACCTTTTCTCTTTACATTTCAAAGGAAGTATTTGAATTAATGGTCTGAAATCTTAAACTCGGTAAATAATGATGGTATCATCCATTATTATACAATGATTTATCTGATGAAGTTTAATCCATCAATTCCATAATGATGATGATGATACAAAATTAATCTTGTGATGTCTATTGCAGACAATATAGAGAATGTCAGTGACCAGAAAAAAAAATCAACAGCAACAACAAATTTTCCACTTGGATTATAAAATTGAATTGATTTTCAGCATGATAATAAACTAAAATGGACTAGTGTTTGACATTTAGTCTTGTAAAATATTTTAATCACTAAATAGATATTATCTGGAACTTTGGCAAATGTGGGTTTCCCCCCATCTAGTCCCAGAGTTCATTCACCAAGCTTTGACTGTTACAGCTTAATGGTGCAGTATTGTTTTCAGAAGAGTGGTCAACATGTTGCACTTGTTCGATTTATTTACTAAATTTTAAGTTTAAGGTGGCACGATAGCTCAGTTGGTTAGACCACTGACTGTCACTCCTGAGGTTTCGGGTTCGATCCTGGGTAACACCCTTGGGATTTTTCAGGAACACTTTCAGTGTTTCCCACGTAACTAGAGGTTTACTGATACGAAACCCAGGTAATCCTGGCATGTATCAGTGCTATACACTGGGCATGTAAAAGAACCAAGGAATCTATTCAATAAGATCTAGGGACTGGTTCCCGGATTTCCTTGTATCTCATATCTGTCTCTACAGTCTGCTGAGGTAAGGACCCTACTGGACATAAGTGCTTGCACTTTCGTAGGTTATCCTTGACCGCCCGGTCTAAAGAAAATCAATCAATCAATCAATCAATAAAAAATTTACCCAGGGATTAGATAGGGGAAACCCACACTTGTCAATTAAATAAGGTCCAACCTCTCTCAACTTCTGATGAACACTTAACAGTACTAAATAAAATTTCGAATAACACTATTTTATTAAGAAACATGACATTAAGAAAACAGGATATGGCTATTGATTCAGTGTCTAAAATATTGCAACATTATTAACAATTTCATTAAAAATATTTCATGATTTTGACGGTGGAACCAAAGATAAATGAAAGTATCTGTATGAAAAAAGAATATTTCATTAGTGACATTTATTTATCATCATTTATTTTCATTGTGCCGAATTCATTCAAAACAAGTAAAAATGTTCCAGCATTTTGGCATTGTGATTTCTTATGTTGATTACTTAAAAGGAAGATGTTTACATTTTCTGAAATTTCATATTTTGTCGAATTAAGTATCAAATCATTGTTGTGAAAGAATATTGTATTGCATATGAGTTGTTCAGCTATTTCTGTGCTTCAAGTACTTATTTAAACATATAGTTATCAGTTCAATTTGTGTTTGTGTTTGTGGTTAATATGAAACAGTTTCCTGGAACTTACCAGAGTATTAGTATTCCCTGGAACTTAACATTATTGGTATTCCCTGAAACTCATTAGTATTAGTATTTCCTGGAACTTACCAGTATGGGTATTCCCTGGAACTTACCAGTATTTGTATTTTCTGGAACTTACCAGTATTGGTATTCCCTGGAACTTACAAGTATTTGTATTCCCTAGAACTTAACAGTATTGGTATTCCCTGGAACTTAACAGTATTGGTATTCCCTGTAACTTAACAGTATTGGTATTCCCTGGAACTTGACAGTATTGGTATTCCCTGGAATTTACCAGTTTTGGTTTTTCCTTGAACTTACCAGTCTTGGTATTTCCTGGAACTTACCAGTCTTGGTATTCCTGGAACTTTACCAGTCTTGGTATTTCCTGGAACTTACCAGTCTTGGTATTTCCTAGAACTTACCAGTATTATATTTCCTTGAACTTACCAATATTGGTTTATTAGTAATTTCAAACTGACAGTCATGGTAATGTAAAAAAATGGCCAATGGCCAATTCAAATTAATTACAAGAAATTTTTGCTGATTCTCTTGAACAGTCATCGTGAAATAAGAATTCAGTTAAATAGTGGGTGTATAACCTTTTTTCAGACCTAAATGTACTAAAGTAACTATGCTATAATTTACTCAGAAACCTTGATTACTGAAAGATAAGTATTGTAATCTATTGTATCAGAGAATTAAATCAAGAACTTAATTCAGTGTCTTATTTAGGTCAAAGAATATTATTGTGACATTCATTTCTAGTTTAAATTGAACTTTATTGATTAACTTGTTTTGATAAGAATAATTGCTTCATAGAATTTCATGTCAACTGAATGGTTTAAGAATTCAATGAAATTGTGATGAAATATATTAAGTAAGTTATCTAAAAAAGTAAATTCTCACAATTTATAATAACTGATTTGTAACTACATGTAATAACCTTTTGCAGTACGTGGTTATTCAGGTGCCTCTGTGGCAGGTTGTTATGGTTGCAAACTTCCGATCATTTGCCCTGTACTGCTCTCAGGGTGCATTGCAAATTTCATCAGGTACACTAAATTCTTACGGGTTATGGACGTAGCTTTTGAAAGGTCAGTGATTATACCCTAGAGCCCCTATGTGCCTGAAATAATGCACTAAGAGTCACCTGAGGTCTTCTTGTATCAGTTAAGCTGAAATGTTACAATGTTGGTTATACTTAAATATTCCAACAAAAGCAAACACCATATATTTTACTGAATGCTAAACCAAATAATTATATTCCAATATGTCAAGAAAAAATTACAATTGTAAAACATGAAGTACATGACTTGTTTTCTGATGTTTTCTTACAAACCATGATTTTATTTAGTATCGGCACCAATTCATTACTAGCTTGCTATATAGATAAAAGAAAATCCAATTACTGTACAATTGATAAATAATTAGATATGTTATTTATTGTCAGTTATTTTTAAAACCAGCTATTGTATCATTGAGATTGATTGTATTAAAGATTGATTACTTCTTAAGCTTAGGTACTAGTTGGGGGCGGGGGCATCAGAGATATGGCACGTCACTTTTTACTATGTTGTCTGTCTCATTTTGCAGCATTGGAATAGAAATTGAGCCGTGTCTAACAAAACCAACATAATGGGTTTGCGACCAGCATGGATCCAGACCAGCCTGCGCATCCGTGCAGTCTGATCAGGATCCATGCTGTTTGCTGTCAGTTTCTGTACTTGTTATAGAGTTTGTAAGCGAACAGCATGGATCCTGATCAGACTGTGCTATGCTATAAGTAAACTTTCTTGCTCTAGTAAGCAATTAATGGCATGCCCCTATAATGGGGTTTGAACTTGTCTATAAATGCACAGAACCGCATGCAGTTTCTTTTGTGTATGAGTATAGTATTTTAATAATATTAAATCAAGTGCTAGACAACAGTTAAAAAGTATAATTATCTAATTGCAGCTACAAACAGTGGTAATGTTAACAGTGTAGTTTGTATACAATAGGGAAGTACAATAGCATGCGGCTTTAATGGTTCTAAGTATGTCTATTTACATTAACACAATTAAGTTTATTCATGAAGAATATACTTAGATAACAAAGCGACTATTGATGTCCAGTTTTAGAGGGCATTGAAAGGACAAACCCTAGCAAGAGCCTGAACATACATCTTTGTAATGTGAGCAAGACTCTTGGTTTATGTATGGATGCTCTCATAGGAAAAGATGGCTTCCCATAGATAGCTGAAACAAGAGAGAAAAGAATACAGTAAAAATAATTGGCTGATGAGACATTAATTTGTGATATTGAAATATAAGATATTAATGATCATAGTTATTTCCTTTCTTTGAAATTTCTGTAATGCAGTCATGGCTCATTATTCTGAGAAACTACAAAACTGTAAGATCCTTATGTTAAAAAACATCATATAGCTTTATATATGAGAACTCCTCAGCTTATATATGAGAAGTCCTTAGCTTATAATATGAGAACTCCTACATCATGAGCTACAATAAAATAATACCACACACTGCAAAATAAAAGCCTGCTGTAGTACTTTATCTGGAAATCACGCAAACTGATTATTATAACGCCGAAGCTGGTAATACCAAAGGCAACTGGTAATACCCATGTGACCAGTCCAGACCTGAAAATCAGTACACGTACGTACATGTCCATGCCAACTAAACATGTCTGCTACTCAGTCATATATATTTTGATATCTGAAACTTAGAAATGATGAGGCAGCTGTATAAAACAGGCAATCACTAAATCAAGCATTCCATAGTGGGACATCAGATGAAATATAAAATAAAAAGTGTGGGGGTTTGGTAGTTAAAATGTTAGAAATTTTTCTATGCCAAAAGATCAATTTAGATATGGACCAAGAAGAAAATAAATCAATTTTAAATGAATCAGTGAAAGAAAAACAAGACACAGAAATGTACTAAAGATTAGACAAAACAAAAACTGGAACTGTTAGAAGAGAGAAAACTGCAAAAAAAATCATTCAGCATCATAATAAACAAGTTAAAAGAAATAGAGACAGGCACATTTAATGTCCTAGAAGTTAGTTTATCTCATTTAACATCTGCAGACTAAAGTATACAAAGGAAAAAAATTCTTTTGAAAAAGATTCCAAACATTGACAAAAAAGACCTCACTGAAGAGCATGCAAAACAAAAGTGAAGAATAAGAAATAGCAGAACAACAAGAAAAAATCTTTGAATATCTGGTGTAGCAGCTGCATTAGCCGAATTTGAAAGGGAGGCTAATTGTTACAGACAGGATGTGATATTCAGTTTATTCCACACTGCCCTAGCTTGCACTGGTAAGTAAAATATGAAAGAAACATTCTAAGACAAATATGATATATAATGCCTTTTCATGAAAGAAAATGAAACAAGTAAAAAAAAAAAACTTACATATTTTAATCCGTAGTCTATATAGTATGGTCTGGTAGTAATGCCCATCTAACCAAGCAAGACCAAGATCAGCCTGCACAATCATATGTCTGATCATGTTCTACACTATTTACTATTGTTGAATTATTTCCTAAATAATATTAATGGCTTTGTTCAGATTGAATGATGGACAAGTCAATTTAATATATTTAGCATTGTTAAAGGTGTGCTTAAAATCCAAATACAGAATTTTAGCACATAGCAGTTAGGTACTAGTTTCTCTCAGTGAAATGAAATGCATTCATTGTAAAAGACAAGCAGCCATATCACATCAACACCACATGCTCAGAAAAGTAATCTGAACTATCCAGAAAAGTAATCTGAAATATGATATACAGTCGAGACTGCCTGAGCGACCCCCTGATTTAAACGACTCCCTGTCTTATCCGACCTTGTTTCAGTACTCCCAACGTATTTTCCTATATAAATGGTCTGAATTAAACGACTCCCTGTCATATGTGACAAGCGACCCTAATTGTCTGGTCCCAATGCAAATGTTTGGTCTGATTTAAACGACTTTCACACCTTTAAATTGTCCGTTAATCAGATAAATAATACCTATTATAACACCCAGAGGGCCAAAATAATTAAGTCCAATTATAATCCAGCAGCAAACAAAGTCTACACACATCTATCTCAATTACACAGTGTACATGCAGGTATCAAGTGACGTAGCGTCTGGATACAATCGTCGTATGTGTAATGTACATGATGGCCTGAGTAAACTGGGTTAGATTTTTTTTTTAATTATAGAGTGCCTACGGAAGATTTTTTAGGCAGCCTTTTTTATCAAGTTACCCTTCTATGGCTGCATAATTAATACGGAAAAAATATTGATACCAAACCAGAAAAAAGCTTTGGATATGTATATGTTACACAATTTTTTCAAGGTTTTATTTCATAAATATGATGCTCAAATTAAGATTTGTCAATATTGTAAGTTCAAATAAGCATAATTTAGAAAGATATCGCCCAATTTAACATTTCATGTAAATAAAAGCTATTAAAGGGAGGTAATTAGAACTTTATTTTCTATAATTTCCAAGTCAAATTTACCAATAAGAAATCAATGCATTTAATTTATTAATTAAATATAATGTGCACAAATATTTGAAGTACACATTTAACATATTCTTTGATGTTGGAAAATTGTTTTATTTGCATAATTATATCCATATATATATTTCAACTGTTGTATGCACACAATCAAAGACATACAAAATCTATAAGTCACAATGGTATATAGACAGATAGATGATATTTAAATTTAACTTTCTATTTAATTTTCTATAAGACTGTATTAAGAGACTCCCTGTCATATGTGACCTTTTTCTGAAGATCCCTTGGAAAGTCACATATGACAGTCTTGACTGTAGTACTTTTTGATATCATTTTATGGCCTGCACAGTGTGTCAATGTTTTCCTTAGATTGTCCAGGAAAGAATGTCTAGACAGGTGATTCAGCTATGACAAATAATATTTCAATTTCTACAGTACCTTTAATACTTGCAGCAATGATTTATTGTAGATTGATTTAAAATGTCATCCTTAGAAATAACTTTATGGTCTTTATGAAAATACATTTAACTGTAAATCCCAGTATGAGTGAGAGTTAACAGAATTTCCAGTGAAAGACTTCTATCTTTTAATTTAATATCAAAACCGAACATCTTTTATTTTCCTTGTTTACCCATTGCAGAGTTTTCTATTATGCTGGCCAAATATCAAAACGCTACAATTCTTATTTCTTTGTATACCCATTGTTATACTGGCCAGCTTTAAGAATGATGTAAAATTTAACATTAGATATACACAAATCAGATTTACAAGATGCCAAGGCGTAATTTGTAGTAATCTGATTCAATTGCATTGTTAATGTCTTTACCATTTGTTCTTGTTAGAGAAAAAAAAACTATTGGTATACACTAGTACAATAGCCACTATGTCCCTGGTATTGTACTAAAATATTTATGCTTATAATCCAAAGCAAATGGAATAATTTTTCTTTAAGTTAATAATTGTTTTAAAATTTTTATTGAAAGGGCCACTGTATATATAAAGCATTTGCATGAGTTTGTTTAAGGAGCCAAATCATTAAAAGATATGAAAGACAAGATCAACAAGGAAGAGTGGCATTCAATGAACGCACCCCCAAACGATCCAGCACTAAGGACCACTGGCAAGGAGCCAAGCAGGACACCAAACAAAAACTTGACAGGGCACATGCCAAGCAAAGATTACTTCTTTAATGCTTCTATGCCTCATGCTACCCTGAACTTGATCACTTAGAATGTCTTAACAAAACTGAAGGTGAATGGTACTATTTATATATATTGTATTAGATTTTATGCTTACATGAGAGTATGTAGAACCTGAATAAAATTAAGTAATTGTATCTCATGGTGCTATTGTGTCTCAGTACCAAGTATTACAATATTTAGTACATTGAAAATAACAAGAAAATCAGAAATTTTTGAGTTTTTAAGAACTATGTTAATATTTCTAGATTTAATGTATGAGCCATAATTCTCTTTAAGTATAAAACTATGCTTAGATTTAACAGAACAACATGTAAAGTTTAAAGAAATTCTATTGAACTGTTTTAATGTTGCCGATATGTCTATATGAAAACTCCTAAAAATGTCTTTAAATGAAAAAAAGTTACAGATTTCAGGACTCGCCAATGATAAAACGGTTGTATCTGTTAATCTCATAAAATGGTGATTCTTGTATAGCCAAAAGGCAAAAGCTTCATTACAGGGGAAAAAAACACCAGCAAAACAACAACTTGGATAAATTGTAAACAAGCACAATATCTAGAACATCAACACTTGATAGACAATGGGGTGACACGATTCTATATAACATGCCACACTTCTAACAATTTAAGATTTAACACATATTTTCTTTTAAGAAAAAAACAAAATAAATAAATAGCCTCATAATTCTAACAATTCAAAATTTAACACATATTTTGTTTTAAGAAAGAAAAAGAAAAACAAATCGGTTAATGAGAATGCCAGTATTATATCATAGTGATAAACAGTTTAAGTATCCTATATTTTGCTTTTTGTTTGGGGAAAATTATGTTGTATTTTGTTTTAAGAACAATGTGCAAACTCACTGTATTCATATAACAAAACATAAAAAGCAACACTGCACTCTAGAGTGAGATATTTATTTTGTCTTTTTGTTTTGTCCTTGCTCTTCTGTTATTTTGCACTATAAAACACAATCCATCCAAGCACAATCTTTGCGTGAAATATTTGCCATGGCAAATCTGTATTTACCTTTGCAAGAAATGTTTGTCATGGTAAATATTTTCACCATTTGACATGGCAAACTTTTAATAGTTAAAAAACCCTATTGAAATATATTTGAAGACTGATATTCTAAGGCCCATAGTAATGTTTTTGATTGAAAACAGTGTTTAATTAAATTTTGCCATGGTAAAAATTTACCACAGCATTTTCATAGCAAAAATTTACCAAGGCAAACTATTTTGTCTGCTATGTACATTTAGTTATCAAAGGACATAATAAAAACACTTATTCCTTTAAATTTTGCCATGGCATTTCCATAAAAACTTTACCATGGCAAACCATTTTCTCTGTTATGTATATTTGCTAACAATAGACATAATATTATGTCAATTTATGCTTGAATAATAAAAAGTCATTCATCTAGGTTCATTATTGATAGTTAGTATTGAGTTTTAGCTTCACAAAGGAGCACCAACAGTCTTCCTCCAGCAGTAAAGCTGTAATTGAGTCACAATATGACATTTACACTCACTGTGTTGTTGAATTAAATCCAAGATACAAAAATAAATGTCTATAAATTCAAAGACGTTTTAATAATAGAAGGAAACAAATATAAATTGGAAGCATTTTACTTAATGTCAATAGAAAACTGTGCTAAAAAAACTTCAAACTGCAAATGGAAGATAAAATAAAACAACATAATAAATCTGTATTGCATAGGATAAAATTGAAAGAGGAAGAGGATTTTCAAAGAGCAAATTAGTTCCTTCTAGCCAATTCAAAGCAAAATGCAAAAACCTAATTTGCAAAACAAAAGAAAAGTATCTGATGTAATTTACTATAAAAACTAATACAACAGATGTTAAAACTTGTTATTTTAATCTTCATTATTTTGTTCTTACATCTTAATATTGGCATTTAACATTAAGTAGTTGTAATCTCAAAACGACATTGACTTGTTTACATGCATGATAATTACTTATATAAGTATCATAAATTTTCTGTTTTAACTACTATAACATAGTGTAAACAAAATTACAATGATGATTATCGAAATTCAGTTGTGCCTTGAGTCATATAACAGAAAAGGTCTATACCATAGACATTGTAATACTCACATGCTTTCTTGCAATATCAGTGAAATTTCTGGCATTGGTGTTTGAAGAATATCTTTCATGTGAAGAAATTATTCAGCTGGTTTTATTTTAGAACTAAAAGCTGCCTGTGATAGAAGAAATATTATATAAAAACTGGTGCATGGTCAACCAAAGGAAGCTTTTGAAAATGAGGTGTCATTTTATATTAATTGAATTGTAGACTCATGTACAGACTATCAAACCGAGTCTGCAATTTTCATGTTATTTTGTTGTGATTTATGCTTTGGAGGGATCATTTTTCCTCCAAAATTTTAAAATATGTCCTAAATAAGGAAAACATGATAGCAAATTGTTATATTAGAAAAAAACTTTTCAGCTAAATAAGAAGAGGTAAAAAAAAGCCTAGTATGACAAAGTCTGTATCTTTACATTCCTGCTTGTTGTTAACATCAGATCACTTTCCCCTCACTGCTGTAGGTTCAAATCCTGACAGGGGACTGAAATACTCATCAAGCACAGAAGTGCACCTGAGGTCTTCCTCCACCAGTAAAGCTGGAATGTCACCATATGACCTAGCTATACAGTCAGTGTGACATAAAACCCAATCAAACAAACATTCTTGCTTCTTCAAGATATGAGAAGTACTTTAGTAAAGCATGAGAAAATTGCTTTTCTGCTTTGATGAAACAACATGACTGTGATGAATGACATTTGAACTTAATAAATCTAATGTCTTGGATAACATTTCTTATGTAGGTAATGAAGAGAAAGGCTTTCTTATTAAAACGGCTGAGATGTTATAGAATGTATTAGCATTTAAGTTGTGAAAGCAAGGCAGACATTGAGAATAAATGATGGACATTGTAAGGAATCCCCCATTATCTATGTTTTGTTATACTATAGTCAGTAATTAGATTTTCTTTCATTTATTAGGACAATGTGTGAAAGGAGTGGATGATATCAGAAATTAAACACATGATCATTTTTATCCAAATAAAATCCTGAAAACTTACATTACCAAGGCATTATTTTACTTGTACACTGCATCATGTCAGTTAGTTTTCTCAATAGTGGGTTTGAATCCCTCCAGGGATGTTAGATTCATAAATGTTAAAAAGCTATCTTAAGCTAGGTTACAGAAATAAGCCCAAAAGGGCACCTGAGGCTTTTTGTCCACCAGCATAGGCGGAAAGTCGTCACCAACCATCCCGCCCCCAAAGTTTTACCCCAGTGTATTACAATTGGAACCCTGGAAGCTGTGAAGATAATTAGATAATAATATCAGCAAACAGACAGAGCCACATTGAGCCGATGAATAGAAATTTATTATTTCTTGGAAACATTTTATGCTTTTATAATTTCAATGTTTACCAGAGCATGACTGGATTTTATTTCAAATAGAAGGCAAACTGAAGAAAAGCATTCATTTCAATACACAGTTCCGGAACTCGGCAAATGTGGGTTTTCCCAGCTAATCTGTAGGTACAAACAAACTTTTACAGTTATAGCTTCACGTTGCACTACCCGTCATAATAAGCACTACCCGTCATAATAGATAAGTCAACCTGTTTTGCTTGTTTTCGAAGCTGTAACAGTGAAAAGTTTGTTTGTACCTACGGATTTGCTGGAAAAACCCATTCTTAATTCCAGAGTAAGTCTATTAATTATGTTTCAAAGTTTTATAAAAATCTTCAGTTTGTAATATATCATAACACAGATGTGTTGTCTCTTCCTCCAAATTGTGAGAGATATAAAATCTTGCCTTGGGGTACATTGTAATGAAGTGTAAGCCCAACCCATGAAAATAATGGCAATTCATTCAATTGTGCCTTACAGGCAGACTGACTGTGTTGGGATAATTAATGAGAAAAAAATATCATATTATTTTAAACCTTAAATACAAGTTTTTGCATGTAATACTCTCTTAAATATTGACTTTCTGTGTTAGGTATAAAAACTTGATTCTTTTTATTGATATGTAAGTATATGTTTTTCATAGCACATTTGAAACCGTCATTGTTACTTTTCATATACTAACCTCTTTTCCTGCTTGCATTTAAAATTTTTATTGAGTACTTTCATTGCTCTAAAGAGCATGAATACATTTGTATATGCAATGATGTTATTTTTTACTTTATTTATGTTTATTTCAATATATACTTTATTTTATTTTTAGTTTGATTGTGTTACTAAGGAAGGTATAAGCTTACAGACACGCACTGAAATCAGTTTTTGCAATCAACCAGTACAAAGAAATGAGTTTAAACATTTCTTGCTCATCTAAACAACAGCTTTCCTCTGACAGGGTTTGAACCCATATGGCCAGCAATCCGTAAGCTACTATTCCAATATGTTAAACAACTGTTTGGTGCTGTCATTATTTTACTTGTCTGACAAGAATAAGATAGAATCACAGGGACTATACTGAAGTAGAGCTCCTCTGAAATCTTTTATTGCTTAAATTTTTTTATGAAAATCCCAGAAATAATTGTCATTTAAAGATTTATTTCACAAAGTTTCCCTGAAATTACAGTTTTTGTTAAATAACTAGATTTAAGCAGATCCAATTAAATCCAAACCTCCCACTATTAATTACATTGATAGAATTTCAATTTACAAGCTTCATGACCACAGAATATTGTGCAAATTGTGATAGTTAATTCACTTTCGGTTTGATTTATGATGTCTGCAAAGAATTTTAATTTGCAGATTAAAATATATTTTAACTGTTTATTGTCAGAAAACAAGAAAACACAAAGAGATTGTCTCACTAGTTAATTTGATATTCACTTATAGGTGTTGGTGTAATAAAATCATTAATTAAATTAATAGTAAGTTGCAGAATAAGGGTCATTTTACCATTGGTGAATTGAGCAGAAGTTTATTATATGGACAAAAGATATGTAATTTTGTTAAAATATCTCTTTAA